CCTATTTCTTCTTTTCTTTAGACTAGCCAAACCCAAGTCCTGCAGCCTTTCTTCATATGTTTTAGTCTCCAGGCCTTTAATCATTTTAGTCGCTCTTCTCTTATTTTTTTTCAAACTCAATATCTTTTCTCTGATATGGTGACCAAAATTGGCTGTGGTATTCCAGGTGTGGTCTTACTAGGGTTTTATAAAGCGGTACTAATACTTCACGTGATTTTGATTCTATGCCTCTATTTATACAACCCAGGATTGTTTTAGCTTTTTTCGCTGCTGCCACACACTGCTGGCTCATAGTCAAATGATTGTCCACTAGGACTCCAAGGTCCCTCTCACAGTTACTGTTTTTAAGCCTAGTCTGTACTTATACCTTTGATTTTTGCTGCCTAAATGTAAAACTTTGCTTTTCTCCACATTGAAACTCTGTCATGGTTCTGACAGATGAACTCTTCAAAGAACTTTGAGGCATTGTTTGCTTTAAAGAATCTTTATTTGAATTGCATAGCATCAGCACTAACATAATCAAAGCCAAAAACTGAGTTACCCTCTCCTGAGCACATAGTATCAAAGCACAATTCCCGCCTCCAATTAACTGTCATAAATCACATTCTCCAATTAGTTTGAAATGCAGGTTTCCCCTCCAGTTCTCTAGCCAGCCAATTCTTATCATCTCTTATTTCAGTAACCTTGGTTCACACACTAGGTTCAGTATTGTTATGTCTAGCTAAACTCTCATGCACATTCCTTCCCCCAGGATCATCTAACTCTAACTCTAAAAATAAAACATAAGAAGAAAATGGTTACATCTCCATCTGTTGTCAAAGCAAAAACATCCAATGTTAGCAGCGTTGACAAACTTATTTTGTTGGCTAGGGCCCATTGTTCAAGTTTGTCAAAATCTTTTTGGATCTTGAGTTTGTCTTCTGGGGTGTTGGCTACTCCTGCCAGTTTGGTGTCATCTGCAAATTTGATGAGTTCTCCTTCTATTCTCTAATCTAAGTCATTGATGAAGATATTGTATTGGGCCTAATACGGAACCTTGTGGTACCCCACTGCTTACTTCTCTCCATGTGGATGTAGTGCCATTGAGGACTACTCTGTTGATTACGGCTTGCCAGCCAGCTACAGATCCATCTGGTGGTGATGTTGTCTATTCCAGGGCTTTTCAACCTTTTCACCCATTGTACCACTTTTAGGATATGGCAATATCTGAGTACCACCAGTCGCCTAGCAAGGTGTCAAAAACTTGATGACCCCCCCCCCCGAAAAAAGGAAAAAAGTGATAAAGTACAGGTAGTCCTCAACTTACAACAGCTCGCTTAGTGACTGTTCGAAGTTACAATGGCACTGAAAAAAGTGCCCCACAAGGCACAGCCGAGCAAGACACCTGCCTGCCCACCTGGTGGCGCTCTTCCTCCTGTCCGAAGTTTTCATTATTGTGAGCATTTCTGTTGAGGATTGGCAGCAGGGGTGGGGTGGGGGTGTTTGGTTTTTACCCCCCCCCCCCCGTCT